ACACACAGGGGCGGACTGGGGGGAAAAAGTGGCCCGGGGATTAATTGACAGACAGGCCCACTTAATGCGCGGCATGTATCAGCCGGCCGGCGACGAAAGTATGTTACTTAACGAAAAACCCTATGCATTTTATGTTATTTTGGACCATTATTCATATAGTAATCACATTACCTGAGCCCTTGAGTTGTCTAGAGCAAAAATAGTTACGGCATATATTTAGTGATTTTAATGTTAACAGATTATTGATGCAATAACATTTTGACCCAATTTGCCTGACTTGACACATGGAATAAAACGTGGGCGTAGGAAGCATCCTCAATGTGGGTGAGACAATTTAACAGGGGGCGTGGGCAGGTGGTGGACCTCACCTCCTCTAGGGGGGTCCGGGGGCAAGCTCCTCCGGGAAGAGATTTTTTTAAATGTTGAAGTTAAATGCATCAATCTGGTCCATTTTGAGATCAAAATTAGGGACTAAATCTATGGCAGTCAGTGGGGGCTTGGACTGTGAGCCGTAGGGTCGCCGGTTCAAGTCCCCGACCAGACCTACATTTGGAGTGTGGACTTCTACTTGGAGAGGTCCCAGTTCACCTCCTGCCCTGCCGTGGTGCCCTTGAGCAAGGCGCCGGGCATCCCCCTTCCCCCCTCACTCCCATTGCTCCCCGGGCGCTGTACAATAGCTGCCCACTGCTCCGAGTACTAGACTCCTGGTACTAGGATGGGTTAAAAGCAGAGAACACATTTCACTGTGTGCTGTGTGCTCTGCATGTGTGACCATTAAAGAGGGTTTCATCCCTCCCAATTCTTCTTCTTTCTTCTTCTCTTATTCTTCTTCGCTGTCTTCTTATCTTCTTCTTCTTCAATTCTTCTTCTTCTCTTCTTTCTTCTATGCGTCTCTTCTTCTTCTCTTCTTCTTCTTCTTCTTCTTCTTCTTCTCTTCTCTTCTTCTTCTTCTTCTTCTTCTTCTTCTTCTCTTCTTCTTCTTCTTCACCTTCACCCATATAAACAGAACTGTAAACAGATTAACTTTTTCTTTCAACATTTATTTGAACAGCAAGTGGAGGCAAAAGTGACTGCACCCAAAACAATAAACCTGCTAGCTAACTAGCCTAAACTCAGTAACAGAATGTGGGCAACACGTTCTTCTCCACAGCCGCGCGACCTCTGAGTCAGACGTCACTTCCCCCTTTTCTATCCTACGGGTGCAGCCACTCCCCTGAACCCCGTTTCCTTGTGTCTTTATAATTTCAAATCTAGTCAAAAAGTTCTGCGAGGAGTGACCAAACTGATTCCAAGTCTGACAGATATTTGCCTACTTTTGAATACAGGAGACATACAGGTGACATGAGGGAGGTCTGTCAGCTTGCTCACAAAATGTATGCCATCACAGCCGAGCCTTCCACATATTAATATGCATGATTTAAGAGGAAAGTCCTTCAATTGATGGTGTTCTTTTGAAAAGAAGAAATGTCTTCACACTGAGTGCTATAACATAATGCAACAAGCTCAGGAGGATGAGGAGCCTCAGCTAACTCTTTAGAAAATAGATCAGATGTATTCTGCGCAACAAAGGATATGTTATTCAGTTATAAAACTGATTTGGGATTATAACTATAAGTATACTGGCGCATCATCTGTTGTATTGTTTGTTAGTGTTAGTTGGACTATCTAGTATCCTATACCAGACATTTCAATTATAAAATACAACTTTTTCCTCTCTAATACTTACAGAAGTATCCAAAAAGTATTATTATAATATAAATCATAAAATCCCCCATAAGCAATCTGAAACAGAATACCTGTTGTAATCCATCTGAGGGGTCCAGATCTCTGTTTCCAGACCAGCAGAGTCACTTTTATTCCCATGTTTAAATTCAGTATAAACTGTTGGGGTTACTTTTAAAATGTATCCCATTACAGTTACTAGTTACGTGTAAAATCATGTTATCAGTCACCTAATCTGAGTATCAAAACATAAAAGTAATGCAACCTGATTACTTTCCATTACTTTTGTATAACATCATTTTTCCAATGCAATGCCGATAAACAAGATTAATTAAATAAGTTAAAATTAAATATGTTATACTGAGATGTATTATTTAAGACAATGTAATCAGAGTATAAGGGAACATAAAAGTGTAAAAGTCCCACATTTTGTTCTCAGAAGACAGCAGCAGCCACACTTTGAATATGTATATGTGTAGGAACATGGAAACCAACAGCAGGAGGCCTTAATGTTGTTTGACTGCTTTAGTCAGACAGATTCTGCTCTGCCACATGCTAACACAAACAAACACACACACACACACACACACACATTCATTTCCCACTAATATCTCTGTCTGTTTTTAAAATGGCTTGTTTTGCTGTGACTTCAGACCACCACTCCTTCTCCCTCAGACTGTTCAGAGGAGGGGGGGGGGGTGAAAGCTCCTGGCAGTCTAATGCAAGTCCACACATGCCTGCATGGGAATGTCTGCCCAACCTGAGGAGACTTAAGGATTGTCAGGATGGGCGCATTAACATAAGAAATATACCTGCAGATATCTTAAATCCCACAATAAAACATGCGCATTTCCGGATCTTACAGGATCTTGTATGTTTAATGTCCACTTTGTTATCTTTTGGCTCCTGACCAATCAGCACTACCGTGTTTTTACTTACATCGTCACGTTGCATAACCCTCCAATGACTTCACGTTCTCCCGCAGCCTCACCGTGGGCGGAGAGACTTCACCTGAAGAGGCCAGAAACATTTCCTCCTCCGCCCTGTCTGCCCCCAGGTGAGTGGAGAGTGTTACCTGGCTGAAACCTGCACCTATCGCTCTGCTTTCCATCGGAACGGCTGCTCTTTAACTCTGGAGAAAAGGTGAATACCCATTTCATATTCTTCTCAAAGCACTCCTTTAAATGTACCCGACACCTGCGCTTGTTTTTACTTCTCCCTAGGAGATGATTTGGTGTGCCGTTTTGAACCTTAGTTTAAAAACAGAGAGGACTTTATTTGGGATTTCCCTTTACGCGCTTGCGTAAAGCCTCTTTGACGCGCTGTGTCCGGAGGTGCAGTGTGCACGAGGAGGTTTCCCCGTGTGTGTGACTGTGCCAAGCCGGGTCTACTCATCGCTTGATCTATGATGAATATTGCGTGGGAAAGGCTGTAGATATGATGTGGCCACTATGTTCCACAGCATGATTTAAATGCGCATTATTTATCATACACTCACTGCTGGTGTGAGTGGATGCGCTTTTCCTTTCCTGTAGCTACATCTAACAGAAGGAGCGCGTCCTCCAAGTGACAGCAGGCGGGCAGTACAAAGATAGGTATGCAGATAAAGGGACAGGAATCATGTAACATGTATATAGTGTCTGTTGCTATTGGGACATGTAACAGAACGTGAGAGACATTTAGGACATTTGTGTTCTCCATAGAAAACGAATAAACTATTAATCCCACAAGGGGATGTTCAGTCTTCACTCGTTTTTAGAGAACACCCCTGAAATACATACACATGTACAGGATTGATAAACACTCCCGAAATGCAACGCATGCATTAATAGAGGTATCAGAGTCAATGGGGTGCAGTTGAGGGTTTGGTACCTTGCTTAAGGATACATCGGAACTTTTTTTGTCCGTACGCGGACTCGAACCAGTGACCATCCGGTTCCATACGGACTGAGCAACTACCTACTGTTCAGCAGCTGTATTCATGAACTTGCTTCATATTGATGCTAGACTGCTGCTCAAAGTGGTTGAAGTCATGTTTTGAGAGCTCAGTGTGTTTCATTCTCGCGTTGCTGTGATTTGGTTTTACGAGAGACCACTACAGCGAGCGCTCGTGCGCTCTGACCACGTCGCGCCTCCTGGAGGACCCGAGCGCGAGTGGGCGGCACCAGCTGGTGCAGTGATGCTCAAGACCAATGCTGCTTTCAAACCCATAGGAAATAACCATACATTCACACGTTATATTTAAAGTAGCTGGAAGACTAGTTCCCCATCATTTTTGTTTTACATTCAGCCATTGATTAATTATTTACACATCCTTCAATGCATAAAAAATAAAATGGTTCAGATTTAGTAAGCAAAAAACAGTGGGTTCCTCGTGTGTGTTATCATCATTTTGAAGAGTGAAGATTGGGATTTTCAGAAATATTAATAACCAGTAATATTTGATACATCTACACAGGGCAGTCCCTGGCCAACTTGGGGCCCCAAGCGACATTGTGAGATGAACTCTCAAAACCAAAATGCACCAACAATAATGAACAAAAAAATCCAGAAAAGCGAGCAGTCAGGAATTGAGATACAAAGATATAATACTTTTTGGATTTTAAATGATTATTTTCAGTATAGTGTTACCTCGTTCAGATATGCATAGATATGTCGTTTTTGATAAACACATTTTTCTATTGAATACTTTGGCTAAAATAACTAAATTATTATTTCCTTTTTGGACCCCAACAACTAATGTCTGAATTAAAGAAGAATATGCACAATTAAAGTACTTTTAAAAGCGTTCCCATTTTATGATTGGATCTTGTTATCCAGGTCCCCCGAAAAGACCCTGAGGGATTTTCAAAGCTCTAATTGTGGTTAATTCTCTGCTGAATGGTAGTAGAGGCATTTAAAAAAAAAATCTAAACTCTCTTTTCTCTACCCCCACCACAACAGTCTCATTTATTAAATCAATCCGAAAAATAGAAGGAAAAAAAACGTGTCTTAGTCCAACTAAACCTAAAAGGTGAAGTCATGTCAAAGAATTGTCCCGACACTTACCGTGGCGTTTTATGCCAATGGTTAACATGACCTAGGAATATTGCCATCCTTATCGTTATAGAAGTAGCTTCCCTGCACAATTATTGTAGAAATATCCAGTTAAACAGTTTCAGTTTATCACCTGAAAACTGAAATCTCTGAGGAAAACCGCTGTTATCTGTTTTCCTATGGAACTTGAACGCACCACCATTCTAGACAGTTTTGGCACGATTTTCGCTCAGCTTCCCTGCGCGTTATCCCTCTGCTGAGTGAGGGGATAATACCATTTAGACAGAGAGCGTCCTCACACGAGGACAAGATGTTTTAGCATAGAAGTCTCACTGTGACAGATGATGATATTCAGGCAGGAATTATCCAGAGCTTTTGTAATATTCTTTTTTGTATATAAACTAAAATAAATAGATTAATCCAGTCGTTTCAATCGAAGGAGTTATTTATTTTCGGACAGATCACACAGGGAATTTGTGACGGTCTTTCCTAAAGAATGAATTAGTGGCTCTCGGGCAGCGTTTACATGCAACAGCGCAGAAAGCCCCGCAGCACACGGACGCACGGATAGATGCTGTAGACCGCGTTCACCGGGACTCAGAGCGCCTTTTAGAGCCGATGGAGCGACAGGATGATGGGGAGGATAGTGCCGAGGAGCCGGGTAAGAGCTTTACACCTTTGGCAAGAAACGCAGGAATATGATGGCCAATATTTGTGCAGTAGGGAGAACATAGAGTTGGTACTCTATTTTCCAATTGTCATGCATGTCCCTAAATTCCCTCTGGTCAGTTCAGAAGATAGCGCACGTGCACTGGGTCTATACAGCTGTTTGTATGGAGAGAGCAACATCACAGTGAGCCCATAAAAGGAGATTTTGACATTAAAATGCACATAAGTGCTACTTTTATTTATTATTTTCTCATCGGGCAGTCTCATTGAGATCACGGTCTGGGAGGGAGACCTGAAAGCAAGAAACTCTTACGTCAGCTGCAAAAACACAAACAATACAAATCATTACAAGGAATGAAAATAGTTTGATAAAAAAATACCCGCTACTAAAGTCTCCCATTAGATAACAAGACTCCAGTTCAGCTTGAAGTCTGTGTAAAAGGCACAGTCCCTGAAAACAGTTCTGCCAACGTGTGTGTACAGGTATACTTTCTAAGGTAAAGCATTGACTGTACATTTTAATGAGAGAACATGTGCGGTAGTTTGGAAGCTTTTTAAATGAAAATCACAAGATGGCTTTACTGCTGGGCTGTAAGGAGCTTCATTCTATTGTTACACCAAAAACAAAAATATGTAGTTTGTGATTTAAAATGATACACTACAATACAATGCAGGGTAACATGGCTATAGTTTGGATGGTAGTTTCACAGACGTCCTTCTATTTAACACAAGAAGTTTGATTTCTTCCATTACATGTTGTGGAATGTTGGACCAAAAACTGTTGTGGGTAGTGAGGATAGTTGGTGTGTATATCTTTTAAGATGAGTTTCAGCCATGTTTAAGTTAACAGTGATTACAACTACACATTGTGGATGCTTTTTGATTGTGTAAAGTCATTTCTAAGTCGAAATAAAACACAAGGTGTGAAATAAAATGTTGCTGATAATATGAGCAATATTATATATGTATAGTGCAGCTAAGTGGAATCACTGTCATGAACATGAACAGATCGGCAGAGGGATGCTCTTTTGGTCATTCTCAACATGTGTCCATATTTCCCAGCCATGCTCTCTCATGTGAGCTCAGTTGGTTTGACACACCTGTTTGATTCTCCACACATGCCTCAGAAGTTTTGTGGCTTTCTTCCAGAAGCAGGCAACATGTGCTGAATTGTTGGATAGTTGAATTATGTGGCACCCTCTTTCTTATGAAACAGAGCCATTGTGTAACACGTAAGTATTTGTGGTGGACAGGTACACATTGGGGTTGATAGATGCCAGTTCCCATCGCCCTGAGTAAACACTGTCAGCATGCCTTGTGATACTGTTAGATTGCTATTATATTCAATGTAAACCACTCCTGTGTAGCCAAGGCCAAGGCAGGTGAAACAAGGTTCAGCCGTTGAGTTTTTCTGCAGGTTTTCTGATTCCTGGATTTCCTAAAAGTGTTGGCATGATCCTCGCACCAGTTCTCAAGGTAACAGGCAAATGACTATTCCAGTGATTTGCATGGAGATCTTTTATTTTGCAGCATGTCTCTGTTCGGGCTTGGCTCTTATTATATTGCAGTTACTATTCTGCTAACTGAGGTCAAAGGTATTTCCTAACCTGTTGACCATGCTAACACACTGCTTTTTGATATCTAAGAGAACACAAATGGTAACATGATAACCTTGTGTGTGCAGATTTCAGAAACAGGGGGTTATCATAGTCATACATGTAGATTTACAGTGAAACATCTCATGTTGTGAAAGCAAATCCATTCCCACACTGGGTGCCGCTTGTCTAGGCTGTGTATCAAGACATTTGGCAGATTATATCAAGACTTGGGCAAGGTTGCGTTGCCATGGAGTACCTGAAACTAATAAAGCCGTTATAAATCTGATTGATATTATTTTAAGGAAACACATAATGAGGTTGCAGAGACTTGTCGGAACTTAATTGTGGCAATTAGAGGATTTCCTGTGGCAGTATCTACCAACAAACCAATAGCACAATTCAACAACAGCATCAAGGACTTTCTTCATGCAATGATAATTACATATAAAGAATACTGTTTAACCAGATAAAGAACACACATTTGGGGAAGTATTCTTGCCTGGATTCTGAGTGAGATATTCAGTATCAGTAGGCTGATTCTTGTCAACAACAAATAGCGTGTGCGTTCCATTTTCACTCTACAGCGAGAAGCTCATGGGGCTTTCCCGAACCTGTGTCGAGAGCTGGAGTTAAATGAAATCTCAGATTTGCCTTCTTAATAGTTTGTTTGGGTCCCTCACTTCCGTTTCGCTTCTCATGCCCTGATTGAGTGATTTCTTTGACATTTTGACAGTAGGGCGTGTCGCCGCTCATCGTCGGCCTGACGCCCACAGACGCCGATAATCAGCTTGGTGTGTCCGTGCCTTTAGGTAGGCCTGGCCTATAATAATAATAATATAATAATGCCCATTGCCAAGCATCGTTGTAGCATTTCCCTCCGAATAATGGTTGAAGACTTGACAAATGATATGAATTTATTGAAATCTCCAATATCAACGTAAGAGCTATAAAGACACAAAAATAACAAATACATTTAGGCTCCATCCGTATTAGAATCACTTTAGCATACTACCAAAAGTAAACTGTAAACAGACAGCAAAGCTACATATACAGCATATAAACGAATTAGCACAAAACCCACATGTTTATATTATAGTTAATACCAACTTTGTGCCTCTTCGGGGGGTGCTAAACTTAAACATAAACGTTATCCTTTACTTTCTCCGTGTTTATATGTAGTTTAATCTCCGCTCCTTTTCGCTGTCACGTTGTTTCCATAGCAACAACAACTTCCTGTCAACAGCGTACACTCGCCTTCAAAATAAAAGCATCTAAATAACACAGGAAGTTAACCTAAATTACATTTAAGACATATTTACAACTGCAACGAAAGTAACAAAAACAATGTAATATCCTTTTCAGTTTCACAGAACACAAATTGGGTTATTTACAATCGTTAGTTTGGTAACTCTTTTATTACACTAGGTAACAGCAACAATAGGTTGTAGCATTCAAACCTGCTCATGGACTTGCAGTGGTCCTCGCTTTTTATATGTCTCTCCAACGAGTTACGCAGGTGCTTCCAGTCTACATATCCATCCCTCGTAAATGCACCTTCAGCTCCTGGGCTGGGGAAATGTCTGCACATTTTACAGAAAAGCGCTGTATTCCACCCAGGGAAAATCTTCATACCACCTCAACCAGTTTTTACCGGAAATTAGTTCCGTTCAAAGGATAAAACACATACCACAGTAATTCAACTCGATATTTGTTCACTTGAATTTCACTTTGAATGCTTGGATATTCTCAATGGGTGAATACAAAAATGTATAATAATAATACAAAATAAAAAAAATTACACCGAAGCTTTCTCAGGGTGGGCCAATGAGTAAACTGGGTGGTGGCTATGCCACTGCATCAAGTTCACTTCAGGTATTTAAATTTGCCCAAACAAAACAAGCCTGTTCTATCCTCTCACGTTTACAGCGAGCTTCGCCTGAGGCCCTGTCCTGTCTGTGCCAGTTCTACATAACACCATGGAGCTCAATGATCCATTTAAGTGTCATTGTTGAGCTATAGTTGCCTTCATTTCATGTACACTTTCTAACTTCCCCTTCATCGGAAAGTTGGACGCAACAAGTCCTCTTACCTATGGACATGACTTTACTTTGTATAGCCAAGCCTCCACGAAAAATATCTCGCTAAGAGGTTCTGTGGCAGTCTAACAGCTCCTTGCTTGTGATTGAGCTTCTGTGGTAGGGCACTCATTATGTACACCACCACTAAAGCTGGTTGTCAGGAAGACAGAAAGACTCATTTAAGTGTTTATAGGAACATCTTTCCCACTGGTTCCTACTGAAGCCATTATAGGCTGCAAATCATGTATATTCAGTCAGAAACAGGACTCAAGTTACTGGTTAAGTCTGAATGAAACTGTTGGCTGCATAACACTTCCACTAAGCATATAAACAATATCATTGTGGAGGCAATATTAAAATATATATATAGCAATAGCAACAATTCATAGTCTTATTAGGGTGATAGTCATCCCGTGAGGGATCTCATCTTACAAGAATAATGACTCTACTATCCAATGTTGGCAGTAAACAACTGCAGTTCAGAGGAAATTGGGCGTATTAACTTGGCATTTACCCTGTCAACAGATGGTAATGCTGGTGTCCCTATACTGTAGAGTCCAATGTATTAGCTCACCCTTCAATCTTTTTACCTTCTTGTCTCTTTATTGAATGTTATCTCTTGGAAGCATTTCTATAATGTCTTCAGAAAGTTGCAGTGCGAATCCTGATTAGCCAACAAAACGTATTGGTTCGTTTTTGGAAATATGGACATTTCAAAATAACTATGAGTTGGGATTGCTTATGTAAGGAAGTCACATAACAAGTAAGTCAATGTTGGTTTCAAATAATGATGGAAGCCTTTTTTGACCAAACCCAAGACTCTTGCCATTACCGGATTTCGGTGCTCTTTATACTCACATGTCCTGGCCCGTGATAACATCACCTAATTGATTATGTGGGTTGTTAATTATTGTGCTTTACTATTGTAGGTATAAATAAGAACAACGTAGGAAAACAGCCTGTAATATTAACCAATCATTGCTCAATGATAGTTATGTCCCTATCATCAGTAGAAACAGGCGTGTGTTAACCGACTTGGCAATAAACCTGTTCCTGATTCTGATTCTTATGATGATAGTGACAATAACAAATGCACAATCCAAACAACATGCTGCTGTATTACATAATTAACAAATGTAGACCTAATTTGTCTGACTTCCTTTAAATATTTTTTAAAACATACCTCTTTATAGCCACCAACACGTGAGGCTGTCTAGTGCAGCTTTATAGAACCACACAGCACTGGTGGCATGGTTTGCAGTCCATTAGCTTCAAACCACTTCTTCTTCAACGTTTCCCAGGTTTTCTCCAGACTG